AATAAACATGATATAGGTATGAATTGTTATAAATATGAGATATTAAGATAAACTTAAATATTTGTATATTTACTCCTATTGTAAGTTATGACAAAATGCAATATACACATCACCCCTCACTTAGTGGTCTGCTAATAGTAGGTGCCTGTACTCTGTAGCCTATAGTCTAATATAGACAATAATAATCTATATGACTATATACCAGGGGTGGCGAACCTTTTTTGGGTCAAGTGCCAAATGTTGAAAATCAAGATTTTGAAAATTGTTCACGTGCCCAAAGGAAATTATATTTTCTATAAGCATAAAAATAAAGTTACGGATTTATTAAATTATTTTATTTTATTTTATTTATTTATTTATTTATTTATTATTAAGTTTAACGGGACAAGCCCTTTTACATAGGATATAATACATAATAATCAAGAACAACCATACATATACCTACAAAATAATTAATACAGTTTGAAAGGTGAATTATAACAAAAATTTACAAATATATAAAAAATTAAATTTCAATTAGATAGTAGGTCTACAGCTTTTGCTTTGAAAGATTCACGAGACATAAAAAAGAAATCGACTTCATTACAAATTGAATTACATAGTGATAGAGCTCTAGGAAAAAATGAATCTGAACATATTTTTTTTTTATAAAAAGGTACGTGAAATAAACAAGAGTTTCTAGTCGAATAACTATGAGTACAAAAACTAATTTTACTTAATAAATCAGGACAATCAATATAATTATTAACAAGATCATAAATAAACATGACGTCAGATAACTTACGCCTAACCTCACAAGGCTGAATATAAATAGAATTAGCTACTAATGAAAATGAATCTCTAGAAATGGGTAAGTTTAAACAAAACGCTATAGACTTAAGGAATTTATACTGAACATTCTCAACCAATTTATCAGTAGAATTTTGAGCCCAGATTATTGAACCGAATTCAGTATGAGACCTAACAAGAGAACAATAGAGCATTTTTAATGTAAATACATTTTTAAATTCTTTAGTATTTCGTAAAATAAAACCCAGCATTTTAAAACATTTATTTATAACCATATTTGTATTAATAGAGAAAGATAAATTATTATTAAAGAGAACACCCAAATCTTTGACCATTTCAACTCTGTTAATATTAATATTATTAATTTGATAGTTAAAAATTATAGGATCTATTTTTTTAGTGAAAGAGATAGAATTGCATTTATCAATATTAATTGGTAATTTATTTTGTTCACACCAAATACTAAACTTATTTAAATTAGCTTGAAGATTAAGTGCATCATCTTGGTTTTTAATAGTAGAATAAAATTTTGTGTCATCGGCAAACATTAACACATTGACTGAAGAATCGAGAACAGATGGTAAATCGTTTATAAACAGATTAAACAGTAATGGCCCTAGGTGCGAGCCCTGGGGTACTCCAGAACTTACAAAAATAACCTTAGATAATGAATTAAACAACTTAACTAACTGACATCTATCCGTTAGGTAGGATGTCAACCAATTAAGAAAATTACCATGAAGACCAAATCTTTGTAGCTTAATTATTAGTAAATAGTGGTTTACTTTATCGAAGGCTTTACTGAAATCTGTGTAAACTTTTTTTTTTATTTAAATTAAAATCGACAGATTAATGGGCCTCAACGGAGTTAATTAAATCGGTATGGTAAGTCAACAAATTCCTAGACACAGATTTTTTAAGCCGAAATCCATGTTGGTTAGGACAAATGTAATTAGATAGTAAATTAGATAATTTTTTTGTAATTAAAGACTCAAACAGTTTAGGTATTAAAGATAATTTAGAAATTGGTCTATAGTTAATAACATTACATTTATCGCCACTTTTAAAAATAGGGACCAAAAATGATTTTTTCCAAACGGTTGGAAAAGACCCAGATGACAAGGATAAGTTAAAAAGGTTATGTAAAGGTTCAGTAAGAACATTTTTGCATTCGATTAAGATACTCGGTGGTATACCGTCAGGACCCGCACTACTAAAAACATTTAGTGAGCTTAAAGCTTCCAAAATTTCATTCTCACTTATATACCAAGAGGATAAATTTAAATTAGAAATAATATTATCTGCGTCATGGTTGGTAAATACATTACTAAGTGAATCAGACGTTGAGTATACGCTTGAGAAATTACTGCGCAAATAATTGAGCAGACTCTTCATAACTACTGGCCGTAATATTATTATATGACATATTTTCGGGAATGGAAGATTTATTAGATTTTAGCTGTTTAATGTATTTCCAAAATGGTTTTACATCTGATAGATTTCAGATACAATGCAATGACATAATCTTACATTCTTTACGTAGTTTGGAAAACTCAAGGTAATCAGATTGTAAAGCACTTATTTTGAATTTTTTATGAGCCAATTTTTTTTTTTTTTTTTTTATAATATATATTTTATAATATCTATATATTATAATACCTATAGCATAATTGTTTATAATTTTAATTTTTCGCGTGCCATTGAAATTTGACCAACGTACCATTTTTGGCACGCGTGCCGTAGGTTCGCCACCCCTGCTATATAGGTACTATAGGCGTGCCACAAGTTGGCCATCGGCCCTGACCTATAGGTAGATTATCTAGGCCCTAGGGTCTAAGGAAATGAAGATAAAATCTTCTCGGTAGCCGGTAAGTTGTTTTAATATTATAAAATTACAACAAAATAACCAAAATCGTATTCTTGGTTATTAAAAATGTAATTTCATCCAAATGTTAACATAAAATAAATATACAAAAAAACTGTGATTTTATATTTTTGAAATTTTTTGATTAAAGAATAACCTACTTACGTGGAACAAAGTTTTAAATTTTCAATCCTTAGCTATAAAAGTTGAACATTTTATAAATGTTTAACTTCAAAATCAAAGATAAAGAAATACAGAACCTAAAATCTCAATTATTGTTTCTATCTACCTTCAGTTTGTGAAATAGAAAAATACACTAAAAAACCATAAATGTTTCTATTGACAACATCTTTGGGGGGCATAGAAACAAAATAATTTGTTAAACATAAAATCATTTGAATATACATACTTAAAGTGCTCGATGAGACCAATATTTGTATGTATTGATCATCTATAAAGCTCAAATAGAAAAGTTTTTATGATACTTCAAAGTTGAAGTTAAAGTTTTACGGTAGGTACCTATTATTAATTAGTAATTACCATACGAGAATTTAAAACCGAAAATAATTATAAAACATTTTGTTTAATGAATATGGATGCACATGTTCACACGGTCAAATATTTCTTTAAAGTTTGTCAAACTTCAAATATTTTATAACTCTCTTATATTTGAAGAAATATAACGTGGCTTTTAAGTCACTGAAAATTCTAATAAGTATACGAGACATATTCAGGTACAACCTATATGAAATACCCGCGTATCTGCACCGTAAATACTAAATTCAGTGTTATAATGTATATTTGATAAATAAATTGCAGTTCAAAGTTTGTAAATAAAAGATTATTATTTTAAATGCTTAAAAGAATTTAAAATTTAAATAAATAAAAGTAGATAATTATACAAATAATAATTATGTATCCATTTTGAATTTTTCTGATAATCAATTTAGATGCAAACTATTATAGGTATATTATTTTATATAGATCGTTCTACATATTTATCAAATTATAATTAAAGGTAGGTAAATATAATCACCATCCAATAATTTAATCGTATTCAAACTACCCATATTACAGAATACAGTAGCGGTACATTATAATATCTATATCGAAATTATTATTTTTACTATACGACAAAAATCGTAGTCGACCAAAATCACTCTTTTTTTGGCATGCAATTCGGATGCAGCCAAAAAGTGGAATAACAATGAATGAATGAACTACATCATGATCTGGACATGTGGGCTTCAACGCCACATAGGTACGAAAGCTGTAAGCACACATATACATAAATAAAAACTCGCAATAATTATCATGGAAAAAATATAATTTAAAATTTATACACACGCGTGAATGAAAAAAAAATCTATATAATATATTTTATTTACATACATATAAATATTAATACACAAATACGTCTAAATAAAATAAAAATCACAACTCTTTTGGAATGTTAAATTTAGAAAATGGATAAATCACGACCATTATACTCAAATCGTAAAAATATCGTAAATAACGGTCATAACTAGGTTAATATTGAGCATGATGTTACACGATCAAACGCAATGATCTTTATAACATTTAAATATAAATATGATGATTGTTGATTAAAAAAATGCGATAACCAACATGTTGTGAATGTATTTTTGTGGAAATTAAAGATAAAACTTAGTCCTACGTATCACAAATGATTACGCCAACTCGGACAGTATGGCACTAAAAGGGAAATATATATAAATATAACTATATGTCTAAATTAATAAAATAAAATAATCACATTCAACGTTACGTCAACTGGAATGTTAATAAAGATATGTGTCCATTATAAGTGAGATGATATATTGTTTGTCTGTACAAGGTCCATGGCAGTGGAAGCGTGGCTGATTGGTTTCTGGGCTACGCCGACTAGAGCTTGCGAGAGGTTTATTATAAAATGCATAATATTATGTCATATAGTTACATAATATTTTATTTATAAACACAATTGATTGACTTTCATGTAATTACTAATTGAGAATATGACAACAATCGCAAACCCTAGCCTTAACTCTTATTAAAAAAACATAGAAGGTACAAGGTATTATACTGTATACATAATATGACTAATTTATATAATTGAAATATAACCTTAAAATAATACAAAAAATATATATATAATAATTGAGACCATAAAATGTTCATACTTATTTTACATTGATATATATATAATGTGTGGAGTAAAAAAGGAAGGAATAAAATTAATATGCTAACTTACTGAAAATGTACACTTATTGAACAGGATTAAATGTTACAGTTTGATAGGGAAAAAAGAAAGACCACAATTAGTTGAATTTGTACTGTATTCACGTTACACCGGAGTTTCACTCGAATCCTTCCTAAATTTCAAAAAAAAAAAATAAAAAACACCAATTTAGAATGATTTTATAATTAATTAATATTTTATGTATAGCACGAAAAGTATATAGATTTTGTTTTAACCAGGGACCAGGGTTATGGATTTAAATAATTTAAAAAAATTAGATAAAAGAAAAAAAGGTGGCAAGTGGGTGTCGCTCTGCTGTACATTTATTTAGGTTACAAGTGGGTCACTCAAATGGATGGCGTTAAATTTGAATTCAATGATATAAAATCCTTGTAAAAGAAAAACGATTCTAGTCAGTCAGCCTATGATATTACTAAGTACATTTGATGATATTATTGTGAAGAAAGTATTTTAAATATTTTAAATTTGATAAATTTTGTCAAAATTCGAACTTTAAATGCTTATAAAAAAAATTGTGCTTATGTATTTTTAATATTTTTCAACTGCTATTGTAACACTATATCAGGAGCCTTGCATTAAATTTTCATGCCTTTTTACCAACAAATAAAATTTTATTGATATTTTTAAAAAAAGAATTAAAAAAATTTAAAACTGACTATATCCGTAAACAGCTCAAAAAGAGTCAACATATTTTGAAAATGGCATGGTGTATAGAAAATGCTAATATATACACTTAGTAAAAATGTCATGTATCTACGGTCATTTGTTATAGAGTTATACCAAAAACCAAAATCGATTTTGCGTAAAAATTACCGTTTTTCCTTAGTTTTTCAGTGCTTTTGAAAACTACTGGAAAATTTTTACTTTTGACCCCCAAAGTACCAACTAGATTCACTTTTATCAGAAAATGTACTGTTGAAGAAAATCTAAGCACTTTTACTGGCCTAAGACGTGAAGACAGACACAAAAAAAAATAAAAAAACACACATCATTGTAAAATCAATACATTAATCGCTCCGCTCAGAATCTAAAATATTTCTATCGTTGGATCAAACTCTAAACTATTAATTTTTTATTATAATTAATTTATTGCGATTTTTGTATATTTATATCAATAATGGAAAGAAGAATCTTGTTAAGTTTGAAAACAAAATTTTAAGTTAGATAATGTACATGTGATTAAAGGTCAAATATTTGATTGTTTTTTTTTAACTACTAACAAGATTGAATACTTATTATTGAGTGGAATTAGTTATTATGTTATTCTTTTACTGTATACTTGAAATTTAAATCTGCACGTTGAAACATAGTAATGTATTGCATAAGCCAGTTGTTAAGATTGAATAAATATACATATCATCTGTTTTAAGATTGGAGAATGATATAGGTAGGTACCTAGTTTTTATTAAGACTTGAACAAAATATGATATTGTTATAAATAACACAGGTGATTATGAGTTCAAGTATTTGCACACAATGTTACTCTTAAAACAAAAGTAATTCTGAAATTAATAATGCTACCTACATCAAATATTTTCCAAAATTGTCTAGAACATTGAAATATACCAACCAATCTAATAACCCTTAGAAATAATAACCCTTTAAAAAATATTTTAAACAAGTAAATTTTATTAATATTAGATAAACCACATTTGAGCAGTGGTCTGGACGCTACTAGTTGTTTGTAACACGTTAACGCTAAGGCTACTCCCCCAAAAAAGTAGCTTCACTTTTCTTTCACTATCGCTATCACTACTTTTTTTTTAATGTAGCGCTCTACTTTTAAGCTACATTTTTTTTTTAAAAGTTCCACTTGAAAATTGGTAATTTATAGCTTGTACTGATTTTACATTTGGTCACTAGACGGGTACGTGAGTTAATCGTGGATTAAACCCGAAAAATGTATTAATATCCTCATAATTATTTTAATATAAATAAATAAAAATAATAATAACTATACTATTATTTAACTATCACCAAGTAAGTATTGAAGGTAGCATTAAAATAATGGTAATTTTTGCTACGCTAAGAGAAAATTACTAGTGCACTAAAATATATCGCTGCATTAGGTGTATTGTAGCGACACTACGTTAATTGCTACTATTAAAGTATCGTGCTACTGTAGTGTCGCTACAATTAGAGCTCAACTCCCGACCACTGCATTTGAGCAACAACAACTTGACTCTTTTAAAAAATTTAAGTAATAATACAAGTTTACAATAATTGATGAGGTAACTAAAATTAATAAAGTAATATAATTTTGAAATCATTTATATCTATTATTACTTAAGTACTGTAGACACTTACAAGTTATAAGAAATAACTGCATAAGTAAATGTGAGATAAGTAAAATATTTAACCACTTACCTCTTCTTCACTGTAAGTTCCAAACACCATAGCAGCGATGCAAAAGAAGAAAATAACCGTTAAAAATCAATCATTATGTTAATATTATTAAGGCTAAATTAGCTGAGCTGTGTACTTGTTAAGATGAGCAATAAACATAATTATATTATTAGTTAATAGTTAATAATTTATATAAATTGGTGTAGTCAACAAGTGTAGTTTTTATAACAATTAAATATAATTATATAGGTACTATGTGAATAAAATTATTTTTTTTGTGAGTTAATTATTACTTTTGAAATAGCACTACACCAAATTAATATCAATGCATTACAGTAATAATAAAAACTAAAAAATTATTCGGATCAAGCATAAGACTTACTCAGATTCTAGTATTTCCTGTATACCATACTCATTTGTATAACCGTGTCTTGATTGTAAATTAAGAGTAGAAGTGGAAGCGTGAGTGGATGGTGATACCGGTTGACTGTAAGCTCGAGCAGTTACAAACCTACTATCAACACTATGTAATGATCCATTCTCACTTCCCCGGTTTATCATAGGCGGTGGCATGGAAATACCATAAAGGTCACTTCCTCTGCGATTATCACCGTACAAATCTCGATAAGGTGAGTGACAATGGTCTTCTTCAGCTACAACAAAGTACCACAAGTATACAAACAATGAGTAATTTCCATTTTTTTTTAACCTAACTTAGTAACAATGATTAATATATATATATATATAAAAATACCAGTATAAGGAAAAAGATATTTGTCTCCCAGACTCGCTTTATCATCTACATCACAGTCAGATTCTGTTTTATTCAGAGAATTGAATGTTGAGCTTTTATGATGATAACCAAAGTGCTCACTGTTTAACAATGGTGGTTCAAGAGACATTCGATTATTTATCACTGAATTGTCCTGATCAGATATTGTTGATCCTGTCCAACGATGCTGTCCAACTGCATGGTCTTCTTCTTGAACTAAACATAAATATATTATAAAATTTATTTGTAACAAGTACCTACCTATAATTAAATACAAGAAATTTGAATTATTTAAAATAGCAATTTTATTTTATTTAATGAATAATTTAATATACATAATATATTAATTAAACCAACTAAATTTGTAATACTATTTATTTTCAGTTATTAGCTACACCGAGACAGTTAATGATGACAAGTTGTAACAATAAATAATAAAAAACCTTTAAACTATTTATTCACTATTGCTACAACTTTATACCATAAAGTAGGTATATTTTTTATGGCCATAATTTTCATAAATTATTTTTTTATAATTTAAAAAAATGAAAAATATACTGGTTTAAATTATATTTTGAAATTTTTTACCTGTTGGATATTGTTGACTAGTCCATCGTGGAGCATACAGAGGTTTTAAATTGGGAAACAATTGTGAATTTGTAATCACGTTGAGCGAAGGAGGCAATCCAGGATCTTCATTTATATTTGGTAAGAATGGAGGTGGTCGATTTGAAGAAGTATTACTTCTACGACCTCTGTGGCGAGAAGAATCATCCTCATCACTACTATGGGAAGAAGCTAAGTCTAAACTTCTTCCTTCACCTGAACCTTCAGAATCTGAATCAGATGTGTGTTGGGTTCGGTGAAAACTAGATGGCAAGTCTGATGTTGAATGGTCATAATTACTTGTTGTTGTCGATGTATTCCTTAATTGAGTATCGCTTCTGAAAGAAAACATTCATTAAGTTATTCTTTATATTTTTAATGGTTTACGGAAACTGTATAATATTTTAAAAACACTGTTATAATACCTATAGGGGCTACTACTTGTCTTTGTAGTTGACCGTGAAGTAGTACTAGACATAGATATACCAATTGGTCTTCTTACTCCATCTGTAGTTGTAATTCCCGTGTTACGATACGACAAAGATGATCTTATAGTCGGAGGTGATATAGCACCTATACCAGAATCTGGTTCATTTTTTTCTGGTATTTCTTTGCCAATGAGCCGTAGTGCACAGTGGTGTATTCCACATCGAAGCTTTGCATTAGAATAGCACAAACCTGCTAATACAAGCCAACCTTGACTACAAACAGCCGCGCACAGTGTGTATGTAAGCCGTGTGTCACGTTCTGACGCTACAACCACTTCTAACAACCAAACACCAACTAGTATAGGAACGCAGATCACTTGTACAACCAAAACACTTCTAAAATGTATTTAATTATTAGCATTTAATTAGAATAATTATATCTAAATATGAATTCATACCTTAAATTTCCATAACCGAGAACATGATCTTTTAAAGTGAATGCTGCTCTGATACACAGGAGTAAAACAATCACAGTAATGGCCACAGCAAGACAAGTGGGACCAATTAAACTCCAGACAACAGATTCATAAACAGACAACCAACAAAAGTAGTAATTCCCATATTGATTAATACGCACTCCAACAGACAAGCTGACTATAATGGCTGGCAGAACATAGCCGATACTATGATAGAAACCCATTTGACCATGATTTACATCCCTTAATTCAGTTAACATTCGATACAGATGGAGTGCTGCTACCAAAGACCAACCAATGGTGGCTAACCACAAATAGTGTAAAGTTATAGAACAAAACTTACACCATATCTAAACAAAAAAGAAAGAAAAAAATGTATTACATTATTAATTGTAAATACATCATCATAATTCGTTAATCCATAAATATTGTGTTATTAAATAAGATATACCTCAAAAGTATACAGAGTTCCTCGAGTTTGAGTGGCAGCCAAATACACACATTGAGTGAGCAGTAAACACAGGGCAAAATGCGAGTATATAGAACTTGTATTTGTTCCTGCACGTACAGCAACTAATAGTACACATGTCACAATGAGAGCAATGATAGCTAATCCAAATGATACAAAAATCGAGAATAATTCAGCATTTGAATATTCAACTATGTACTGATAATAAAAAAAAAAAATCACTAATTAGTTAAAAGTTATATAGAATATTATCAGGTATCTATTGTTCAGAAAAAAATGATTTACGTGTTCATCAACTACGTCTGTGAGAACCGCATATGTTGACAGCTGGTTACATGTACAATTAATGTAAATAGGATCTTTTTTCCACCAATTGTCTTCTGGCAACTCTGTATGACAGCCAGCTCGAGTCCACTCACCACTTGGTCTATGTTAAAAATAATAATATATAATCTCATAAATGTTTTGTTTCAACTGTGTTAGTTATTTTTCCCATTGAAAAAAAGTTAATGCCAAAAGAATACTGAACTAAAATAGTTGGATGAGTAATGTATTTTTTTTAAAATAATAAATTGAGTTTATTTTATTGAGTTTATCACTCAATTCATTGAGCATAAGTAGAGTAATTGCAAAAATGACAGGTATAAATGCAATTTAAACCCTTCAGTTTATTTTCCTAATATATCCTTCATTCTTATAATATATATATTATTTAACACTTTGTTATGTAATAAGCATCAATTAAGATATAAATTATATCATAAAATACTTAATTATAATGCAGTACATTTTAATTTGTTGTACATAGTGATTTACAGTAGTAAGCTTATAGACTATTTATATTTTAGCGTTAATTATTAAGACTATTTTGTGAGAGCTGAGAAATATTAGTAGTTTTTAAATATTATTTGCATATAAATTCATTAGAAATCTTACACTCTAGATGTTGACCACCGTACACATTGTGGATTGGATCTCAATGTAACTGGGTTTTTGTTAATCCAAACCTTGATACGAATCGGTGAATCCAAAGGCACCATGTCAGATAACTCTGAAATTTCTTTACCATTTACGTGCCGTTGTTTTCCTAGTTGAATAAAATTTTAACCATGACATTAATAATTTTTTTTTTTTATATGTATAATATTAAAACTAACTTTTAGGATTATTGTGATTCAGAGTAGCAACAAATGATATAACTGGAGAACCCACTTGGAGATCTACAGAATACCTCTTTAAAACAGTGTCATCGTAACGTAATGGTAACAACGCTCCAAGTGTACGATACTGTGCATAACCAACAACAGCTGCATTTTTAGATAGTTGTCCTTTAGTAGTGGTCATTCCATGTTTTATTGGCTCAATACCCAGTAAATCGATCGGCACCATTATTTGGGTATGTTTATCAAACTTTGAAGAATCCAAAAGATAGTTGTTATATTTAGGCAAAACAACAACAGGGCTACCCATATTTTTTAAACCTAATATTTCTGAACCAGGTTTTAGACTCAAAACCTGAATAGAAACAAAATTTGAAATTAAAAAATATTAAAAAAATTATAAAATAAAATAGTTGTGAGCACATACTTGTATAGCTGGTTGAAGTATAGACGAGTCGGGTAAATTTACTTTCTCTTCTGTCAATGCAGAAGTAGACAAATCTGGTCGTTCGTGTTCAGGTTCAAACCCAAATAGACTCTCAGCTGAAACTACATCTAAACCAATAGCTGTAAAAAATAAATAAATATTAATGTAAAGCAAAAAATTCTAACTAATAATTATCAAAGTGTTATTACTAGTACCAGGTAAATATGTTATCTACCTCTACTATTTTTATTAATATGGTGTGCCAATCTATTATCTACTAATTATCTACTATTAAAAAATGATTGACAATTTTAAATATAAATTATGTGTATTTCAATAAGATAATCAAATGTATGAATTTGAATTCAGAATTGTATGTTTCGAAGCGATAGCATAATATAGTTAATATACCAAATAAAATGTAGGGTGGATAAAACATTGAGAAAATATTACATTTTTGAATTAAAATACATACCAATATTAGGACTAACTACTTCAAATGGATCTGTGTACGTATCATGTTGAGTTGTTGACAAAGTAGCAACATAGTTATTTATTGTATTCATTAAATTAAATGGTCCCTGTGATGTTATACTGTTTATGCGTTCCCAATGATCAATTTCACTTAAGTCTAACAAACGACTGGACGCCATAACTAAATTCTGGAGTAAAATGTTGGTTAATAAAATTGAAAAAAGCTAAAAATATAATTAAAAAAATTAGGAACAGCACTAACCAATATATAATCTTTATCTTGACTATGGGTCAAATTCAACCCTGACAAAGATCCTTCATGAGATAGTAAATGTTGTAAAAGTTGTTGACCAATGAGAACATCAGAACCGTGCAGGAATTGAGTACTGTTGACTGCTTTATGAAGGCTATTAGCTCCATTTACAGCAACGAATGTAGTTACCTTAATAGATTTGGTTTCTAATCCATTCAACTAGAAGTAAATAAAGACATTTGGTTTTAAATATGTCGTGAACACATTGACAACATTTTAAGTTTATGAAATTGAATCTAAAACATTTCCATTGACTTAATACTCACGAGTCTCTGAAGATCAACAAATGAATTTGAAGTGCAATTGAATATGTCAGGATATTGCCATCCATCTAAATGATTTTGACATAAGCGTGTGGCTTTGCCTTGAGAACCGATCGGGCAGTTTTCAGTTACATGTTCACCCCATTTTGCTCTAGGCCACCAAATATTACCTGCTATACTCTTTGGACAGCCGTCATAGATAACTAGAAAAAATAGATTATAAGAATGTTTTAATTTATTATTATATAGTAATATTATAGTAGTATTATAGTAGTATTAAGAATCAAATTTTAAATTTATATTTTTTACCTTCACACCCATTTAATGTGACTTCGGCATAGGAATTTGGACATTGGTCACACCTGCGACCTATAACACCAGAACGACACTTACATTGTCCAGTAGTTTGATCACAAGATCGATCAAAAGAACCAACATTGTAGCAACCACACTCAAGACATTTATCAGAACCATGAGGAGTGTAATGATTGTCCTAAAAATATATGTCATAGTATATAATTAAAAAAACATACCTAATTAGACATCACACTAAATACAATAGTATAAATTAAAAGAAAATAAGCTTTACTTTGCAATAACATTGTCCAGTGGTTTTATTACAGTGGGGGTTATAACCATTTTCCACCATACAGTTACATGGACCACAAACTCCCCGATGATGTCCCCACCAGCTAACAGGACATGACTCTTTCAGTTCGTGCTCACAGTAATCACCTAAGAATGTCATAAATACATTTTTTAAAATAGTGAAAACACTTATGTAATGATCACATACCAGTAAACGTAGTCGAATTACATTGACAATGATAACCACGAAGGCTTTTTCGATCTTCAATGCACAGAGCATTGTTTTCGCATGGGTTAGTATGACACACACTTTCACAAGCTATTCCCACAAATCCTAAGAACAGATATCGTGAAATGTTTAGAAATAAATATATAGCAAATTTTGTATCATTAGGTATTAACTATAAAGTATTAACTGTTTTCACAATAAATACCTGTATGACATTTGCATGTATGGTTTTGCCACGAAGGTATACACTCGCTATGCTTTGGACATTTATTTCCATTGCAGGGGTTATCTTGTTCACAATTTTCACTAACGCGTATCATAAGTTCAGGTATTTCCAATACAGTTGTTCCTCCACTGTGACCAATTCGAACATCCTAAATGTTACAATACAACAGTTATTTTACTGATAAATATAATTCAATGAAATGTACAAAAAATGTAATCTTATTTACTTTAATACACCCTTTGAATCCAATATTCTCATCAACATCGGTTGAATCTTCATTAAAGTTACCTAATTGGATTTTTCCAACAAATTGCCCTTGAAGTTTGGCATTCAGTGTTTTTACAACTGAACGAATTCCGTGATCCAAAACAAATCGAACACCACCTGTATTCTGCCATATTACTTCCAAATTATGCCAATCACCATCATTGATTTGCACACTGCTGAATACAGCTTTTTGGCCATCAACCACATAGACAATAAAACCACTTTCCAACTAAAAATGCATGACATTTGTAAGTTGAAATACTCATTAATAATATAACGTAAACTACTAACATAAACTCGAGCAGTAGTGTTTTGTCCTATATTCACAGAAATTACTGGAGAATTAGGTTTTTTAGTTTTCAATGATAATGATGTATACCATGGAAATTGAATGGTACGCAATAATGGATTAAACGCTACCATTCCGTCTCCCGAAAAACGCCATAGAGCTTGTATAGCTAAACCAATAAAAAGTTACACATTTATATTTACATCAATACATGTTATGGATAGATTAAAACATATTGTTGCATTTATATAATAATATTTTACTTACGATGACTACAGTCTTTTCCTCCCCACAATTTAGGACAGTCACATTTATATGTACCCCAGTGATCTGTACAACTACCACCGTTTTTACAAGGGCTATCAACACATAAAGATTTGCGTTCAGGGCAACCAATGATGGTACCATTATCAGCTACAAAACTAAAAACATAAATAATTATAAACAACCATAACATAATATGGATAATATTTTAAGTATTTTTAACAATATTTGCTACAAACCTATTCAAATCGAGAAGTTTGTAGTCAATGTATACATCAGCAATACATCCCATAAAGTCTTTACTTTTCACTTGAAAACTAGTAGAGTCTGGCAACATGGGCAATCCGCCAATTTGAAGTGGACCAGTTAGATCCAAAAAGCGATGACAACTTTCTGTTAATATTTCACACCTAAAAATAAACAATTATTTAAAATATTATTACATTTCAATAATGCTGGGACATTATTACCTTTTTTCTAGAACTTGAGTAGAAACATTAGCGCAAGAATATCCGAGTTTTGACCCATATTTTACAGTCAACGGTACGTCACAATCATCTAAGCTCAGAGTAGCACTCTTAAAAATAATTATAATGTAAAAGTTATTAAAATATGTATTTCAAATATTTAATATAATATTACTCACTCGATTGATATAAGAAACTGTAACAGAATGCCAAAGACCATCGTTTACTGCACTAGTAGGTGGATAAGCTATTACATAAGTAACTTCAGATCCTAGAGAGAATGAAAACTGCATCCCACGGCCTCCTTCAATGAGTTCTAAAGCAATAAAATCATGGCGTTCGTTGTATCGACCATTGTATAATAACAATCCAGATTCTTCTAATGTTGAAAACTTTAGGGAAATATGTAAACGATATCTTTGTCTTAATGATGGAAAGGTTAAAAACGAAGATTTTGGAAAGCTTCTAGAACGAAGTCGGCAAACTTCATCGTAATGTTCAAAAGTACCAGCTGGTGAACAATCATCACATAAAAATCCACCGCTTTTTAATGGGGTACAAGTGGCCCCTGAATGACATATTCCTGGTTTGCATTCATCATGTTTCAAGTTTATTTCACAGTTATCGCCAGTAAAACGATGTGGGCAGATACAAGAATATCCACTTTCTTTGCTTCGACATTGACCACCATTCTTGCAAGGATTAGAATAGCATAAATCGACTTCAGTGTCACACATGTAATATTTTTGACTCCCTAAAGTAAATAAATCATTACAATTTACAGTTAAAAAATAGAGTATATAGTTTTACCTGTAAAACCATGAGGGCATTGGCAAGCAAATGTGGTAACTGGATAAATTGGTCTAAACAAAACAGTATCACTGCTAATGAAAGATGAAGCATTACCAAACTTTAAAACTGTTAAGCACAGTTCAAAATTCAAACAAGGTTCTCGAACACATAAATTATCTTCAAATGGTAAAACCTGAAATTATATTTTAATATTTTACCATTATTTTGTTTCTAAAAATAAAGTCAGAAGTTAAAAACATTTACCTGTACAGTTGATAACCGAGTAAGTATTCCTCGATTTAAATAAACACGTTCTTGAAGAAATTGAGGAGAATAAAAAATACCATCTGGTTGTTTTGCTGAAAAACTAACGTTGAGCACTCGACCATCAACATCTGTATCATCTTGTACACTGAATACATATATATTTTCTTTTGGGCATGGGATTATAGCTGCTAATCCAGATGTGAAAAATTCCAACAGGGGAGATAAAAAAGCTTCTTTGGTCATATCAGCTAATCGGACAGTTACTGAGTTAAAAAGCATTTCATCAGTGACCAATCGCACTATTAGGGTCATAGTAGCTTTGATTTCATTCACTCCATCTAAAAAGCATTAACGTTAAAATAAGATAAGTACAAATAAGACCAAAGTCAAGTAAAAACTAATTACCAGTAACCGATATTTCCATCGAAGCAATTTTAGGTACATTGGTGTTTAATTGTGAAGATAAGGTTAGCATACCAGTTGATTCGTTTAATTGAACTAGATTAGCATTATTTCCCGAAATTATTCTATAAATAAGCTTGTCTGATACATCAGCATCAAATGCAGGAACTTGACCAAATGTTCCAGTAGGAAAGTAATCTTTAAAGTTATTAAAAATAACTTGAAAATCAGAAAGTCTAGGAGCATTATCATTTACATCAGTCAAGTATATTGTTAATGGAGCATCAGAGTGTAATGGAGGTGATGATGCTCTTACTACTAATTCAAATTTTTTCTTATTTGATTCATAGTCTAACTCAACAGAAGTTAATAATTCAGCTTTATCAAGTCCAGGTCTTCTTAATAAAGAAAAACTGCTAGCATCATCTCCACCTACAAAAAAAAATTACATTATTCATATCATTTTTTATTATTTTGGGAAACAAAAGTTGATGGTATGCGCTTTGCAGGGTTTCCTTAGTTAGGGCTTATCGAAGGAATCCATTATCTTCAGATTTCAGTAACCTTTTTTTAGGTAGTAAAAAGAAGAAAATGTCGAAATGGGGAGTGGATCACCATTTTTTGGTATCAAAAAGAAGCTGCCAGACAACAAGACATGGGTAGCAATGTAGCATAGTTTTTATAATTTCTGACTTCAACAAACGTTCCAAAAGTGGATAAACACTTTATAAAATAGTTAAATGTATTCATGTTTGTATTGGAATAACCCACACAAATGGTAATGTAAATTGGTCAGGAAGGTAAATGAGTGTGTCACCTTAAAAAGTAAATCTCAAGCATCATAAGTTTATTACTAAGCTATCTAATAAATTATTATTATCTTTTTCAAGTACCTATTGCTAGTGGCTACAGTTCATAGTTTTTAAATAACAACAAAATAAGAAAATTGTTGTACGAGAATTTATTAATTTACAGGTGAATATCCAATGTCTAATTTCAAACCCTTGTTAATTAATTTAACATTACAATGAAGAGTTTTTTAAAATTGTTGTGTTTGTTATCACCGTTTGCGACAGTAACACTACTTCGATTTTCTTAAACAGTATCTTGTTTGATGAGAAAGTGAATCAAGTTGATGCAGAGGTCAACATTTGAAATTCAAAAAGTTATAACATAAAAAATACTGCACACAGGTGATGAAACAGAATTATTCAGCTAATATACAGATATAATAACAATTATTGTAAAATCAAAAAATTCTAGTATTGATATGCAATGTACGTTGTACACTAAGCTCAGTGTGCTCACGTTAGACCGCTGGAACCATAGCCATGCTCAGTCTATAGTATAAGCCATAAGGTTTATATAGAAGACACGGGCTATGATATAAAATGTGACACAAAATCAAACTACTGATAGCAATGATAACATTCAATTTTGATGATATCAGAAGAACCTTTTTCAACCCATCCACTATATTGTTTCCAGTCCACTATAAGGTCCCCACACACTGCAGAGGTGGCGGTAGCGGTTACGACAAAATGAGTTCGGACACAATTTTACCGCCAACGCTGCAGTATGTGGCGTCCTTAATAGTCATATTGAGGAACCACAATAGTAGTATAATAATATGTAATATATTTTTAAATTACCAATGATAGAATACTGAACAATTGCGTTAGGTCCTTCATCTGGGTCTTTAGCGTAAAGCTCCCCAACGGTAGAACCAATTGGTGAATTTTCAGGAATGTACATGACTAATTTGTCGGATTCAAAAACTGGTGGTGAATCATTTACATCTTCAATACGTATGGTAACAGGAACCTATAAAAAATTGTACATTTTAGCAACAGTTTCATACTTAAAACTATATTTTCTTACGGCTGTGGAGAGGGATGGTGAACCTTTATCAATGGCAAACACATGAATATTATACTGAGGAATGCTTTCTCTATCTAAAGAAGCTGCAGTTCTTAAAATTCCAGAAGTGGGATCAATAACAAAGGCTTCTACACCATCATCTAAAGCATATTTTATGCGACCATTCAAACCCGAATCTGCGTCAGATGCACTTACCTATATAATCACAATGCATTAAAAACAAAACATTAATGTATATAACAATAAACAATAATTGTACTTGAAGGACACTAGTCCCAGTAAGAGCATCTTCAGAAACTGAACCATAATATGATGCATTGAAAAATTGTGGTGCATTATCATTGATATCAGTGATTGAAATCTCTACATCAGTGGTGTCTGAAAGTGGAGGATTACCACCATCTCTAGCTGTAACTGTAAGTAAATATCCACTTTGCACTTCACGGTCTAATGCTTTTGTTGTGACAATAGCGCCACTTTGAGCATTGATGGTAAACTCCGAAGCATCGCCATACCCACTTGCTAAAGAATAAGTGATCTAAAAAGGCATAATATATATAAATACACATAAATAAGAACATTTTTTGAACAGTAGTAGGGTTTACTAACTAGAGCATTTTGACCAACATCGCCATCAGTAGCAGAAACAACAAGAACTGTAGAACCAACAGGAGCATCTTCATAAATACTAGCAGTATATGGTGCATTATCAAAGATTGGAGCAAAATTATTAGCATCCGTAACATTGACATAAATTGTAGCAGTATCAGATAAGCCACCTGAATCTGTTGCTGTTACCTATATTTTCAAAATAATAATTATTATAACATTATATTATGCATGAAGCTGTAGATAAAAATACTTTGCATGTTTACTATTCAAAATAAAGATTTTGATTATACTTAATAAAAAATAAAAAATGGTTAGTTGAAGATTTATTATATTTTATATTATACTATAGATATATTTCTAAATTTTATTTTTATTATAACATTTTTAAAATTATCATATCATATCATATCATATTGAACTGTTTATTTGTTATTTTTAACAAAAATGTAAAACTATTTACAAAAAATGGCCAAGGGCTAAATAAGTTAATGAATTCTTGTCATTGTGTGAGTAATAAAATATATACTACCAATTAAAATAATACATTTTGATAGGTACATCCAATGAAATAAGTAAATTTTTTTTGATATTAAAATCTTACTACATAATTTTAAAGTATTTTATGATGTATTATCTATTAATTAAAGTTATAATATTTAACACTTACCGATAGAATAAAACGCTTTTCTTGTTTATAATCTAATGGTTGAGCAATAGTTACTAAACCTTTACCACTATGAGTAGCAATTGCAAATCTTCCTCTCAAGTTTCCACTGACTATTTCATAATGCAATCTTTAAAATTATAATGAAAAAAATATAAAAATGTTAGTATAAATAAATCAAAATTTGATAACACTCAGTTTGATAAATAGCTCATCGTATATGACATATGTTGCACAAGTAGTCACAGTAATCCCGTAAATGCGGTCATGGGGTTATGTCACAGTTATCAACTATCCATCAACCGAGGCACTCAACGTGATAATAATTACTAATAACATCAATCATGATACCTTGGGTTTTCATCTGGATCAGTAGCCATGACGGTTGTAAGCGGCGTTCCTGGAGGTGAGTCTTCACTAATTACAACATCATATTGTTTTGGATGGAAAATTGGTTCATTGTCATTAACATCTTGAATAGTAACCACAACACTAGCTGTGGCTGATTTGGGTGGATCACCTCCGTCTTCAGCCACAACTTGAAACTGGTATTTCGGATTAGTTTCTCGATCCAATAAGTGAGTAGTATACACCCAACCACTCTTTTCATCAACGGTAATTGGTAAGTTCTCAGCTAGGGTACCCTCAAAATCTCTTGGAAAAATGCGATACTTTAAAGCAGCATTCTCTCCTTCATCCGCATCATATGCTTGCACTCTTACAATACTATATCCAACAGCAACATTTTCTAATACAGATTCTTGAAAAAGTGAAGTGTAAAATCTAGGAGGATTATCATTAACATCCTTTACATTCACTAGTAATTGAGTAGTATTGGAACGACTTGGATTTCCACCGTCTGTAAAAACAACATGTTAATTTATTACAATATACATTTTAAACTATTATTCTATTTTCTAGATTAAGTGTATACCTTGAGCTCTTATCATAAGTCGGTAACTTCGCATGGCTTCATAGTCCAATGATTTGACTAATGAAACTTCTCCATTTTGACTATCAATAGAAAATTGTCCTTGTGTATTACCACCAATTATAGCATACCTCACAACTGCATTCAAACCCTGATCAGCGTCAGTAGCTCTATAATTATAATGTATTTCTAATTAATAAAATAAAATTATAAGAAACATGTTTTCCAATAATAATCAAAATTGAACATTTGTTACACAAGTCCTTAAGGTACTTCAGAGGTTTGCAATCATTTTAAAAGCAAGATTTAAAAATAATACTATTTAAGATTTAACTGAATCTAATATATTAATTTAATTTTTTTATTAAGTAGGTGTTGACGGTTAGTCTCAGGTTATACAACAATAATTTAAATTTTGTAACTTAACTGTAAATAAATTTATAACATAATCATTTTTGGGAAATTAATTTTAATTAATTAAATTGACAAAATGGTCTACAAAGAATTAATATCCATATTGCCACAATTGTATCTATAATTCTTCAAGAATATTTTTTAATAACCGATTGTTATTTTATTTAAAAACTAAAAATATAATTTATGTATTAGGTATCTTATTGTTTTAATTTTGTGAACTATACCATACGACTAATTGAATAAATATAGCAAGCAATATCTGTACTTTTTTCACAACAATAATATTATTAATTATATTAATATTTTCATTATTACCCAATAATTGAAATGATAAAATCACTGTTATAGTGAAAAAATATTTTAACAAAAAAATAAAAACAAAGTAATATTTTAAACTACTAAATACAATTCTCATTTCAAGTGTAGTCAGTATAGGTACTTTTGTGGTATTTAAAAAATATAAAAACTAGAATATGGTCATGTTATAGTTAATTGTATTAAACTGAAACTTACTTAATTGTGGAGATAACTGGTCTTTGGTTAGGATTAAGGTCTTCAGGAACATTAGCTGTATAGGCTCGTTCAGAAAATTGTGGATAGTTATCATTATCATCTAATACTTTTACTACTAATGAAGCAATTGCTGAACGCCTTGGTGATGGTGGGGCTGCTTGATCACTTGCTTTAACCATGACTGTGTAAACTTCACATACTTCCCGATCCAAATTTCGCCTCACACTAACCACACCACTGCGAAGATCGATTCCAAAAGTTTCATCTGCACTAGAGTTTATTCCACCACCTGATATACTTTCAATAGAATATTCAATCTGAAAAAAATTGAATGTAAACAAATATTTACCAGTGTTATAAATTGATAGTTATTAAACCATACTTGAGAGTTTACTCCAATATCTAGATCTGTTGCTCGTATGGTAATAATTGTAGTTCCAACAGAAACAGATTCCCTCACAGAAGCTTCATACATGCCAGAAGCAGATTCAAAAACAGGCGAATGATCATTGGCATCCACAACATTTACTTGAAGAGTTGTAGTTGCTGTAGAAGGATGAGATGATGTATCTATAGCAATTACTCGTAAATAATGAACATCCATGAATTCTCTGAAAAAAATTGAATTCAATGTTACTACTAAGTATACTAAACTAGTATTTTACCAGACATTATTTATTATTAAAATAACTAAACTGTATCAGAATTATATCAAGCTATATATATTTTTTTTAAGAAACTGAACTGGCAAGAAATTAGTCTTAAAACAACATCATAAGAATTTAACTCAAAAAGAAGTTTTAATTCTTTTTATGGATAGTCACCCAACCAAAAATAAAATTTATCTTATTGTAACTAGTATTAATACTTTTAAAAATTAAATCTGGACATTTTTATTATTGATAAGAATAATTATATTCAGCTGGCATAGGTACATAAAAAAAAATGGTTGAGTTTACACACTACCACAGTTAAGTATAAAACAATTGTAAAAATTTGTCTAAAACTGACTACATACCTATCTAATGATACCAATGTTGTAACTAAACCAGAACTAGAATCAATGGTAAACATTGCATGTGACCTAGTATCGATGATTGGACTCATCTGGTACTCAATTGGATTATTATTTGGAGGCATACTTCTTGCATGTACACTACAAACTATTGTACCAGATGGAAGTTCTTCAGCTACACTAGCTACATATAGACTTCTTTCGAACTGAAGTCCACTATCAGCCATCTCCACTTCTCTTCGTACACGTCCAGTTTCAGTTACACTTCGTTTATGCCACAAAATCATCTAGAAATTGGTAATTCAATATAAATAAAGAAAAACAATAATTTTTTTATTAATTAAAAAAATAAATACTTTAATATAATGTTCTGAAGGTGACACAATTTCACTATTCACGTCACATTCATAAGAAATCATGACAATGATTGACATTGGATCAAGTGTTGAACAAAAGTTTTCAGCTACCACAAGATCGCCACTTTTTGACTCCACGCTAAATCTATTGTCACTAATATCCAAATACCGTATTTTGCAGTCATTATAAACACTTTGAGGTATTACAGAAGGTCCAAGAGGTGCAACAAATTCACTTTGCCGCCAACATTTTTTATTCACTTCGTCCATTGAAATACCAGTGCCAAATTTAAGACTATAGATTACATATATAGTTAAAAATAATGATAGGTTAATTTTTAATACAAAATTGTTTACTTACTTTAACACTGATAAAACCACTGAGACTAATGTTTTACTAGACCACTTCTTGGCATGTTCAATACGAGTGTTTAATAGTGAGTCTATTTCTAAAAGAAAAGAATTTTTTTATTAGATTATATCGGGATTTTATACATTTTTTTGTGAAGAATATTTCTTTGGATATTTTATAAGAATGAATAATACTTATTATTTATAACATGACAAAATATCAAAGTTAAACAAGGAATAAAAGTTTCTACCTAATTTAACCTATTTTAGATCATAAAATAAAAATTATATGGTGATGATTAAACTAATTCAAGCACGAGTTCAAACATTAATGGCATAAAAATAATATCTTGATGGATAAAAATATTATCTAGCAATAACCAAGTTTAAAGTAATTGGCTGCATTACTTGGAATAAATATATTAGGTATATAGATTGAAAACATAGGGTTGCCCGATTTGGCAAGGACTATACCGGTTTTTTTTTTTTGAATATAGCTACCCATTGTCCCGATAAAGTATTTTGGGATGGCCAACATTTCCCCTGAATCAAACTTAAATAACTATTAACTTATGTTATTTTGTCTTAATTACTAAATATTTCTAGAAGAAAAACAATTTTGTTTTGATAAATAATAAAAGAATCAAGTTGATTAGGTACTTGATTGACTGACAAAATATATTTTCCTGTTTAGGTGATGACAAAATACTGAACATTTTACTGTTTTCCTGCTTCCCCTCAACAATTTTTGTACCTAATCAATTTCGCTAATTGATAATTTTGTCTGTTGCTCGTTTTGATTTGTAACATTGTATTAGGTAGTTTTTAACTTACAAACCTAAATCATAGAGCGTCGAACATTGTGAGTGGTATTTTAGTTACAAAAAATTGGCGATTAATGATTGGGGAGGAATGGTACAATTTTTGTTAAGATTCTAGTTTAGTAACCTATCGATTTAGAAAAATTTTTTTTTCCAAAATGTGTTTTTTAGGGTGCTTTATAAGAATCTAAAAAAAAAAACCCCGACAAACTTAGTTTTGAAGTTATTGATCAAAAACTTAATTTTTTGGTTAAGAGCATTTTTTTTTTTAAATACTTAGATTGAATATTTTTAGATTTTTTTTTTTCAAAGTGTGTGGTTTTTAACTCTTAATAGATCGGTAAAATCAAAACTTACCTAACATAATTACTTTTGAAGTTTTTGCACGTAAACATTGAAAAATACCATTTTCAAAATTCATAATAAATCCTTTCTAAAATTAGCTGAAAATCAGTTTTTTAAATATTTATTTTTTTTAATATATACAGTTTTAGATGGAAAAGATTTTAGTGAAGTCAGAATTGTGCTATCTAGCTTAGTTTTAGAGTTACAGGTATTAAAAGTTGTATATACATACGCTCTAGAAGCTCCCTACTCGATGGCCAGTTAGAGTAACATAAGTTTAAAGAAGCTCCGGTTGCCAAACTCGAGGTCCTGTGGACCTCTAGCTGGAAAGGGGGCTCGGCCTCCGAACCCCCTTAAATAGTGAACCTGTGGGGAGGGGGAGAGACCCCTTCGGGCTAGGCACAGACGGGTGACCTAACAAGTAATTTTAACCTTGTCAGTTGAAGTAACACATTTATAGTGGCTTCCGTCGCCTATCGGCTCCGGTCGCCAAACTTAAGGGACCTCCCTCCGCCTGCCAACTCCAATCGCCAAACTCGATGGCCACTTAGAGTAACATAATAAATCTTAATATTATGGGTTTGTGTTTGTGTTCCGCCATTAATGGTGCTGTTATTTTGGTAACTACTGATAATAATATTTTATATTAGCGTTAAAAATATAATTGTAACTACCTGTTTACCTATATTACATTTTTTCATAAATTAGGCAACTTTTATACCTGTAACTCTAAAACTAAGCCAGATAGCACAATTCTGATTTCACTAAAAAACTTTTCTATCTTAAACTGTATACCTATACCTATACCTATTAAAAAAAACTGATTTTCAGCTAATTTTAGAAAGGATTTATTATGAATTATGAAAATGGTATTTTTCAATGTTTACGTGCAAAAACTTCAAAAGTAAGTATGTTAGGTAAGCTTTGATTTAAAGCGTTAAAAACCACAAACTTTGAAAAAAAAAAATCTAAAAGTATTCAATTCTAAGTTTTTTTTTGGGAAAAAAAAAGCGTGTAACGAAAAAATGAAGTTTTCAAAGTTTTTGATCAATTACTTCAAAACTAAGTTTGTCCGGGCTTTTTTTTTACATTCTTATAAAGCATCCTAAACCACACATTTTAGAAAAAAAAAAATTTTAAAAATCGATTTGTTGCTAAACTAGAATTATGCAATATTTTTTTCATGAAAATTTTACAAAAAATTGTTGTCCCGGTTTAAGTAAAACAAAATATGACAACCCTATCCAGACATAACAAAACTACCTAGCCTGACCCCCCCCCCCAAAAAAAAAAAAAATTAATATTTTTTTATTAGATTATACCTTGGATTATACATTTATACCTACGAAGATTAGGTATACATTATTTTGTTACAAATATATTACAATTATGAATGATGTTTTTTTATTCAAATTGAATTATTATGTTGGATATAAATTAATAACTGTAGATGATAAGGTTTGTGGCAATCACTGATCAATTATTTCATTAAAACTTATTTTTAAATTTATAGAATAAAAAATGATTTTAAAAATTAGTGGTGACTGCGGGTACCTAATTGTTTACTTGTGTAGTAACAAAAGTAGAAAAATGTATAAGCCTCTCAAACAAAGATCCTGAGTACGTGCCTGACTAGGTCCTTAAAAACAGTATTTCTTAAACTGTGTTCCTCGAATCTCTCATTAAAATTAAAATTTAGAAGTCCTATTTGTTTGTTATTTAAAATGTTTTTTGAATTAAATACAGTAGGAACCTATACCTACCTATACATTATTATTATATGAAATTACTAAAATTTTTATTGCAAATAATCCTTACATAAAATGACACTAAAAATTACTATTGAAACAAAGTAGGGGTTCTTATTATTGAGCTGTAATAACTTATTGTTGGAAGCTAAATAAAAAAAGTAAAAAAAAGTAGGGGTTCCACAATAAAAGTGGACATAAAAAAGTGTTCCACAAATAAAAATGTTTAAGAAACACTGCTCTAGAAGACTAGACTATTTGATTAAAGAACCTATACATTTCAATATTTCATAGACAACAAATACCTAATGCTAACCCAATCCATACAAATAAATCATCAGAAAGCAGTCACGGACTTATGAACACTTATGATAACAATGAGATCAAAGAATAAATTACAAACTATTTATCCACCAGTATCCTTGTCAGTGTAATTCTCTAAAATCTAGATGGTATATTAGACTTTCAAGAATAAGTACCTATATTTTTAGACAAATTTGGCAAGTTCGAATAGAAATTACTAAATTCATGAGATGCAACATACTAGATAGTTATGCAAGTACCTAGAACAGAATAGGACTTACTGTTTTTTTCGCATCCCTTGATGACCATTCTCAAAGGTACGGACATATATTCCAGTGTGTCGTTTGAAGTAGAATCCACATAGAACGTAAACACGTCTGGATACTTGTAACCATCGCATTCCAACGGCCGTTCGAGTATAACCGATCCGGTGTAGTGGTCGACGCGCAGCAGCTTGGCGACAAAGTCACCGCTCTTCTCCGGGTTCAACGCATACCGTCTGGCCGGTCGGTCGTAGAACGGTGTGCCGCCGTCGAACAGAACCAGCCCCGGTGAGTCCGTGTCGGATACGACCAGCAAGTATCCGAACGCCGACCGGACCAGTAGCAGCAGCAGCAAGCACACCGCGACATGGTTGTGCTTCACAACTAGCATCGCGCCGTTCGACGAGTCGGACAGTACGGTATACCTGCGTTGGGACGACTCGCCTCCATAGTCAAGTGGTAGCAGGTGTGGGACAACCGATCCGTCCGGTCGTCAGGAAGATAAGCTTATTGAATAACTGGTGTCGGAGAGGAAAGAAAACCTCTTATCACGACCGACGATGAGAAAACGGCGCGCGAACTTTACTATTGCACGGACGGCGCGCGAACTTTTTAATATTTCTTTCGCGGCAAAATGTACCCGAGCATTTTTCAGAAAAAGAACAACCGCTCAGGAAGACACGAAATCGGAAACAGAGTTGGACACTATCGTCGGCAGGACGCCATTGTGTTTTGAATCCCGAAAACGAACGCAATAGCCGCGGACACAACGAAACCGTTTCCCCTTCACCCGCACAACACGAACGAGAAGTACAAACTGAACAAAAACCGACCGACGACGATGCCGGGACGCTCCACTCGTGTGCCACAGACGCGCCAATGACCGACGGCGTAGAACGTTACTCACTGGAGTTTTACGTTCGTACCACTCTACTACTACTATTACTACTACTACTATAACCGCACTCCGCAGTACCACAGTTCACCCGTTCACCCCGAACCCCTCCCGCCCACGCACCGGTCGAAACTAGTAATCAATCGGCGGGCCAGGGGTTCCAAACGTGTCCGACGGAATTTCATAATTAATAATATAATATTATTATTTTGTACTTTAGTGTTGCACAAATTTAGTTCAGTATTCTGATTTTCATTTTACGTTCACGTTTGAGCGTTTGACCACTACCTACCTACTATACCATCTACTCTGTCACATTGCATATTAATTGTATTATTATTACAGTATTACCTGATTATATCGAACTGTAGTAAAAAGTGGATCGTCCACAGCACATCTTGAGAACGGTATAAAAGCCCAACGCCGTCTGAACGCGTGTCCGCCTATCGTGAAAAATGTAATGTCCGTGGTGCACGCGATACACCTATTACCCGTGTTGCTTTATACCCATAAATAATACTAAACATTAAAAATATAAAATGTAGTCACCTGCAATCGGTTTCTATAATTCTATACAACATAATATTATTATTTATAATTTTTTTCTTAATTCCTCAAACCGTTCTACTGCAGCTACGGCGCTACGAGGCATTATACATTTATACGCATACCTATAAAATAAGCTATAATAACAAACAAATTATAAGTAACCGAAACGGAATTTTTCTCGACAGGCGACTAAATAGTCTAGTGGTGCTGGGAAATTAATGATTTCACTTAGGTATGTCGGTCAATTTTGTTCATAATTACTGAGAGATACAAATCAGATTCAAATCACATCATAGCCGTTTTAAACGAGAGGTTACCTTTATGGATATTATAATTTTAAATTGTATTTTGCATATTTTCTACGTTACAGTTAACGTTATAGTGCATTAGTGCATAGAACTGGTTTTACATTTTCGTTGCATATGTTTTTTATGCATTTTTTAACATTTATTCTCGGCTGTAAAACCCCGACCATAGGTACCCACTTACAACGAGGCCCCACAGCACACAGCAGTTATAAAATAATAAAATATAATTTAAAGGGAAGTCATAGAGGAGTTAAAATTTATAAAATATGTAAAAAAAAACTGAAAATTTGTATTTTAATTATAAAATGCAATATTTTAGATTCTGAGCGGAGCGAAAGAATGAATTAGTTTTACGATGATTGAATGATGTGTGTTTTTTTTTTCTGTTTGTCAGCAACATTTTGGATAGTAAGTATGCTTTGATTTTTGAGATCAGCATCTTCTCTGATAGAAAAGTGAACCTAGTTGGTACTTTTGGGAGGTCAAAATTGAAAATTCCAAGTAGTTTTATGAAGCGTCGAAAACAACTACCGACAAATCACGAAAAACCGCTAAAAATAGGATTTTAATTTCTAACCCTTTGTTTATCACCATAGCAAAGAATAAAAAATAATAATATTATAAGGACTACTCTAACCGCTCAGAATCGTTTTTCATATATAATGGTTTATCATAGTATTCAAATATAACACGTCCATTACAACTACTGTACTGCAGAGTGGTACCCAGTTGTCTATACCTTTTTTATACTTTGGATTTTATTCTGTGCTTTGGATTAGGATCAGGACTATAAAAATGTATAATATATTAATATGACGTCTACTTTACATTTTAATACTAAGTATATTTTTACAATTTTCAGAGCTTTTTTTAATTTAAAAAAATACAATTTACAATCTGTATTCTGTACAAAAAATTGATAAATTAATAGGTAAATAAACTATATATTACATTATATATCTATTCATTTTTTCAGCGTTACAGAATTTATAGGGCTTCACGTCTAACCTAACCTATAGGTTATAACCGTAATATACTAATATATTATAATAAATCACACCTTTATACCTTTTAACTTAAAGGATATAGCAGAATAGCAGATTCTATTCTGTTGTATCCGATTATATGATAAATATCTATTACGTATTTCCGTTATATTATAATATTTTAATACATTGTCAAGTAGGTACTATAGCCTATAGGTTTAGTGTCACGTACAGCACTGAATTTCCTGCTCGAAATAGTACTTTTTAAGTTTTCACTCCATACTGCACCAGGTGTCCAGGTATCTGGTATATATCAATAATATGATATTATAAGTGAGTTGCACTATTATACAATATTACAATATTATATAGACCATTATGTATCTACCCTGAATTCTGAAGTATATATACCATCTAGTATACAGTATACACCTATACCATCGACCAGTCTTGACCATCTATACTTGTCAACTATATTATAATATATATTTACATAATACATATTATATTACACTATAAACTAAATTTACTTTAATAGATCCATATACCTACCTAATATACTTTATAGAACATATTTTGTAGTCCGACATTTCAGTTAATTAACGAAATATTTTAACAGAGACTCAATCGACATACGTTGACGGTGGGCGGAGGGAGCTGATTTTTAAACATGCATGCACTATATAATTTATATACTATCCTCCTCATTTTCCTTGCGTTTGTTCACCACTGATGTGTATTGTGTATATACAAGTATATTAGTTAATATATTAGTAAATATAATAATAATAATAATGATGTACTTACCAGTTACCTTTATCTGCGAATCGGTGCTTAGGAGACGGGATAGTAGGACTATATTCATAAAGTGTATAATATACTCTCTTGTATAGACACACAGATGACGGATAGTATAAATAATAATAATAGTTATACTACTAACAAGTAATAACTAATATAACTAATAACTTTACTCATATACGGATAAAAATAATGTATAAATGTAGATACCGATAAGAATACTTAATAGTATAAATGTAAATATTATTAATTTTAATATTTTTCGTATAATTTAATCAAAAAAAATTGTTTTTTAATTAATAAATAAGCCTTGAAAACCTTGGTGATTGGGTGGTTAATTTTTTTAGTAGGTTTTTAACTGTGGGGGAGGGTGCGGTTAGTTAGAAGTTAGAATACGTCTATATGTGGCATGGCGAGGATTTGTCACTAAAAATCCAGGTGGTCACCCATCCGGGAACTAATGACACCAGCCGGTACTGGCACTCAGAACATGATTGTGTCCGAAGACCTCCACCGTACCAGATCAGGCCACAATCGAGAACATGTTAAGAGCTTATTACTATGATTAACTAATAAATGCGAACTTATTATTTGCATAAACTATTTTATCTAAATATAGTTCTATATATATTTTAGTATAGGTTTATCATTTTATTGTTGGTTAATTAATTCGTCTTTATTATAAGTCAAAAAATGTTCTGGAAATTTTGAAGACAAATAATAATTTGTCATATGTGCATTGTGGATTAATAACCGTAGTATTTATAAATAGGTAGGTATTAGAGATGTGGAGTCTGGACGATAAGTTGCAGTATTAACCGGGGTCTCGACGACTCTAAAAACGGCCCGGCACAGTGTACACTCTAGTATATTGTTTAAAATATGTAAAATATAGACATAAAAGCAATTCAATATTTATATTATAATTATTGTAAGAATTTGTGTACAATGTATAATAGTCAATAGATGTTCATATATATATATATTATTAACCATTTATATAGATTATATAGGTGTTTATAGGTGTGCATTGGTAGAAATCGGGGTGGTGGGAGAAGGTAGCCCACCACCCCAACAAACAAAGTTCACCAAGACTTTTTTAGTTGTGCGGGTTCGACGCCCCCTGCTCAAAATTATATTAAAAATGTTAGTCCCCCCCCCCCTGAAATTGGAATGGATTTCCCTATTAGTAGGTATGATATTATATGTATTATGTATTATTGTATTATGTTTACAGTTTACTGCATAGTGCATATATTATTATGTATACATAGGTACGTCAATCGACCGATATTTGGCGCGCGTGGTAAAAAGAAAGCGCCAGACCACGCGCCTCCGACCACGAGCGCGAGGGTGCCGCCGTCATCACAAATCGACGGTATCGCATCTCGCTCGTTCTGCACATACGTCACACATACCGCACTGTGTACATACGTAAAGGTAGGAAGGGATAGTAAGCTGGTACTCCCCCGCAGGACGGACGACTTTTACTTGCGGCCATCGACCGCGTTTCTACCTATATATTATAATATTATGCCGGAAGCTATGCATGGTAAATATATTATATTATATTATGCAGCTGTGTCTCATATTATATGAACCGTGTTCGTCTCGCGATCAGTTTAGGAGTTATCTTTTGTCTATATTAGGTTACAACTTAACAATTTTACAATGTATATAACTGAAAATTATCATAATAAGGTTAAAAAAAAAATTGTATAGGTCTGAAGTCAACATTATTAAGTTCCGGACTCCGCAACCGGGATGACGACGTATACAATAGTAGGTAGAGGTATATTCATAAATATGATAAGTTACATTTATTATCATTTTTTTGTACCTATTTAGTACC